GCCCACCTGAACCCAAGCCCAAGTCCATGCATAATTAAAGACCAACGTCTCATTATAATTTCCATTAAAAAGTGGGTAGCCGTCCATACAAAACCTCATTCCAAAGAAAATTGTATTCCTACACAGAAAGAAATATCGATTTCCTATCATTGTAATTGATAAATGGGTAACTACATAATGGGCAAGAAATATCCTGTGAATTTACATTAAAAGCTTAGCTTATAAATCAACAGTTTTGGTTAATACCACAAAAAATCTTTTGCGTCGAAATTCGAATTAAAAACGTATTTGTCTTCAAAGCTTATGTATTTTTAACAAAGGAGTATTTTAAAACAGTTAAAAATCATGTGTTGAAACAACGAATTTTATAAGCAAATCTTGATTTAAGATTTATGTAGATAACCTATACTCTCTTATTTTGTTGAGTGAAGCTAGACTTATTGCAAGTGAACTTTTGATGGCTCATCAATACAATGACATTTAAAGCGACAGCTGTCGCGTCAAACAAAAGTGGAGCACGACTACAGGATCTACAACCACACCGATTAATGAAATATGCATGACCCGAGTAATTATGTTTGATTAATACCCATATATGTATATTTTTGCTTTAATTACGCCTTCCCTCTGTTTTAAATGCGTGCAATTCATCTATAGTATTTTTGTCGCTTAATAACTTGCCCTTTTGTTTGTTCGATTTCCTGCTATTTGTCAAACATTTGCATAATATTTTATTCATTCAAAATTCTACTAGCAAAGAGTTTGAGCGGTGAACAAAGGGCATTCATAAAAATTTAAATTGAATAAATATGTCAATGCCAAAACGAACACAATGAAAGTATTGTGTTGCACTTGCATCCGATATTGAAATTTATTGTGCAACTTAAAAAAACAATTTAATAAATCGTAAGCAGATAAATTTGAAATAAGAGCAGAAGAGCAATGTAGGTCAAATAGGCATAAGTTAATATTAATCATCTCAATTTACATTTTAAATCAATACCATTCCCGATGACAAAAGCCTTCTTATTTATTTATATGCATAATCGATTTTATATTTGCATTTTTCAGTGGTCTATGCGAATACTTTTTAAAACAATAAAGGTTTGAATATCTTCGAATAAATTTTTCAATATTTTCTATGACACATATCTGGTATAGTACTTCGATTTTAATAAAGCTTAAAATGTATTTTTAAAAGCGTAATAAATATTTTTAAATTGTGTAATTTGTGTATCTGTTAAAAATTTAATAACTCCCTTCTATGACAGCTTTTGAACATAGTCGTCCGAATTCTATAAAACAAAAAATTTAATTGTTTAAACGGATATGCCAATATCGTCTAGTGATGCTGATCAAGAACATAAATACTTCAAAGGGTTGGAAATGTCTCATTCACAAAAATAAATAAGTTATTAATACCTTTTCTGCAGCAGTGTCTAGTCTGGAAAAGTAATTTCCGTTACGACTAAATCAAAGTACAAGTTCGAACTTTGATAAAACACATTTATATTTTAATACAGTTTAATACAGTGTGTGGACTTAACATACATTTTTGAATGCCAGTTGTGTGCGGCCCACTTTGCTTTATTTATATTCCCGCATTTGGGTTGCTTAAACACACATATACTTATATATAGAATACTCGCATGCTAAAGCAGGCTTATGAATTTTTTTGGGTGACTTAAGCTGATTTAGGGCAGGCAATGTACAAGCAAAGTCAAGGCAGTGAAAAAGGTTAAGTACAATAAAAATAATTTATGTATTTGGGAAACTTTCGGGTGCAGAAAGTTCAATTTTCCAGCCATAAGACATGGCCTTGCTGAAGGAAGAGGTAAATGAAATTTTCTTTTATTTTCTGGGAAAATATTTTGCATAAAAAAGTAGCAATTTTACCTGTCAGAATATGTTGGCCACTGTTGCTGGTCTATTAAAAAAAGGTTATGGAAAACTGACCAATGGTGTCTAAGCATATTTTCTAGGGCAATCTAAGTAATGAATCTTTGCTGTGAATGTAGAACAAATATGTGTTTTATGCGTGGGATAGCTCCGTATTTTTTCATCAAAAGCCATTTAACAAATTGCAAATTTCAATCTTTTTATTGTGCATTTCGCTGTGATACTTTAGGATATAAAAATACACTATGCAAACTCGTTAGTTCAGTGTGATTATTGCAGAAAAAAATTTGTATCCTAAAAATTAATGTATAGAATCTTTATCTTAAATCCTTATAAGCATTTCTGACTAAGTTCCTCTAATTTAAGTTTTATATTTTAAGATATTCGACATATAATATTTAACTTTTGTTGTTCGTTTTACTTCGTTAATCAATCCTTGAAAACATATTCATGCCCTGCTCATCATTAATTCTGATAAACAGTTCCCAGGACTTTCATTAGCATTTTCCAACCATACTTTTTCCTCAGTCCTTCTGCTACACCTGTCAATAAGTTGATTGGACCCACACCAACATGTGTGTTTAGGCACGTGTGTGCACAGAGCACCTCTTGGCATTTTCATAATTAAATTGAGTTGACAATCCATACCCATCCCCCGAACACATTCGCTGTCCAACCGCTGACCACAACAAAGTAAAACAAATAAAATAAAACAACAAAGAAATATAACAATAACCCAGGCACTTGCCACCCGTTGCTTCCGATTTTCCACCACCGGGAAAACCAGCACACCACCCACTCAACACCGTTGATCAAACAATGGCACAATTGTGAGGGACTTTCCTGTTTTTTTTTTTTTTTGGGAGCATTTTCCGATTATTGGTGTTAACTAGACAATAAAATAAAAAATTATAGGATAATTAGCTCAATAAAATTAATCGGTCTTACCTCGCCCTGCTGTTTGTCCTTTGTTCCTGATTTGTGGTGGCTTTTGGTTGATTGAATAGATTTTAATTGAATTTAGGCTCACTCAAAACTTTCGGGGCCCGAGCTTTATGAAGCTTGAAATTTTCTCTGTTTTTATTATCACGTTTTTTTTTATCTGCCACAGAAAAAGGGGTCTTTAATCTTTGGGTTAACACCCCCCAACAGTCTCTGTAAAGTTGCTTTATTGGTCTCCTTTTTTCATGTGTCGGATATCTCAGCCGTGTGAATCCCGTATTTAAACCATTTCTCGCCCTTTTTCCCCCTTTTATGCAAATTTTTCTGGTTAAGCAGAATGCGGACCTAATTTATGGGCCCAAAGGGAGACACGAAAGAAAAAACAAGTTCAAAAGCAAAAGTTCAGATGAGGAAAAATCGTAACATTTTCTGCGAAATTTAAAAAGGAAAACACAAAGTATCTCACATAATTATTTCTTAAATTCTTGGTCCCCGCTTAAAGCTATATTCCTGGGCGACCTTGACGGTCTAAACAAACTGAAAACAAAGTCGAATACAATTTGTTGTGTGCGTCCGTTGCATGTACATATGTATTAATATTCCACAGCCGCCGTGTGGCCTTGGCAGGTGAGAATTCAATTGAAGGATCAGCTGGGCAGGTGAGAGGGCTCTAAGTTTAGTCTGGTTTCTTTTTTTAGCTTTGCATTTCAGTTGGGTAGTTAAATATTCAAGGAACGCTGGCACTTTCGCACACTTTCTTTATGGTTTTCCGTTTCACTTGAGTGTTGCATATTTGATTTTGCATCCTGGCACGAGGCTCTCCATTTCTATTATTTCCGTATTTCTATTATTTTTTTTTCTTTTTCACATTGCGTGGCTATATATCTCACATTGGCTCATTTATTATTTACCGTTATTGCACATTGGACAACTTTTACTTTCGGCTACCGCACCCGTGTCCATGTGTGTGGGCCCACTTGTGCGTGTGTGAGTGTCGTATTGAGGTTGTCCTCCGAACAGGACCTTCCACTTCCACCGCTTTTCACCGTGAGAACGAACCGAACGAGACGACTGCACTGAATACACTGAAAGCCACACGAATGGCGTCGGCTTCAAAGGCCAGGCGACCAGCCAAAGCTTCCATTTTCCTCTTCCCCTTTTTGGCGAGAGAGCGAGCTTTTCCGCCTAGCACAGTGGAGCAAAATGAATCCATCCTGCCCGCTCCCTTCCAGTTCGATTTCGCTCTCACCGACGGCCCTTTCGAACTTCCCGAAAGTTATTGGGATCTCTTTCAAATTACACTCTCTTAAGGGCAGCATTTTACGGGCATTTGTGTCATCCTTGCAATGCCACAGTATTTCTTCCTCCTTTAAGGAATTCATAATAAATCGCTCGGGCTATTTTTAGGGCTTTAAAAGAGGTGGCGAAGGATAGGCATTTTAAAAACATTTAATAAATCCTGGGTCACAAAATATTTTATATACTATAATTTGAGTACTTTACATAAGCACTTAAATAAACTAACAGAAATGCTATATGAAGTATATTTCTTTCAAAACGGTTTTAAACTGTTTTTGGCAAACAAACATTCTTAATTAATCTTAAATAATCGGCTATAATTTTCGGTTTTATAGTTAATACAAAATTTAGTTTTTAGACGAATATATCAACTAGGAATTTAACAATATTCTTTCATACAAAAAAAAATCAGTCTAATATTTTAATAAACAAAAATATTATTTTGTAAATGAAAAAGAATAAATATATTTAGAACAAATTTGTTGTCCCCTGCAACAGTAAACCAAAACCCACACAACTTTTTCATTTCGACTCTTTTTTCCTTGAAATATTTTGAAAAGCTTATCATTTTGCCAAAGGAAAGGTCAATGCTATTAATTTGTCAAATTAATCTTTAAGGAAATCTTTGTGTAAAAGGGCTTTTAAACGAATACTTGCTTTGAAGAAATCGAATGCTTTTCTTGGGATAACTGCAATTGATTGATCCATATCTAATACACTTTTTATATTCATTGTAAATTTATTTTTTTTTTTATAAAATTTTTTTTATAAATTTTTAGGTTATTTTATTTAACATTTATTAGGATATATGATTATTATATTTTTGAATACATTAATTGATTTGTTTGTACGGTATTATATTTATATTTCTTCTTGGCATAATTTTGGAAAGGAGGCGTTTGGCAGACCGTTTAGAGGTGGGAGGTAACTGGAGAAGGGAGTGAGCTCAGATGGGCAGCTTCAGACATTCGGCCTTCTTAAGCACTTAGTGCACATTAAGTGCCAGGGATTTGGATTGTTTGCTGCCCAGTCGCTTGGCCTCATGCCCAATCCACTGCAGCCCCTTTTCAACATCCAAAAGAGCCTTTCTTTCTTTTTCTTCAACAGCTTCTTGGTCTGCTGCCGAGTTAACTGACACTTACACTTGCACTTTTGAGAAATCAAATGCATTCGCCTTGGGTACGGGCTTGGATTCCTTTTTTGTTCAAGCGATTACCCATTATCAAGAGGCTAGAAAAACGCTTTTCCACTTAACGGAGATTGAAAGAGTGAAAGATTGACATTAAACTGCTACCGATTTAAGAGCGGTTGGATATGACTCAGGTTTAATAAATTAAACAGGACAGAAGTAGAAAAGGATTCTTACAGATTGCAGTCATAAGAGTATTAAAAACGGCTGCAAAAAACATTCTATTATATTTCAAAAATTTTTAAATTGGTCGTGAACCAAAAACGATTTTTTATAAGTCCCCGCACGCATTCAAAAGCACCAAATTCCAAATTCTATTCTTTATTTACCAATCCCAGTCCTCGCAGGCCATTTTATCCCGTTTAGCATTTGTACATTAAACGAATCTTGGTCCAATCACCCTCCGATGGTCCCCGCACTTGTCCCATTTCCCTCTCCACTTCCTCACCGTTGATTAGAGCACGGATAGTGGGCTTTGAGGGATCCTTGGCGAATGCGTTCTTCGCATAGTGCATAACACTCTCATAATCATAGGGAACATTGAAAGTGGTGGTCTGATCCATGGCCATGAACTGCGACCAGTACTTTCTCGGGATATTGTCGTAGTCGATTTTCACATACTCATCGCGATCCGGACGACTTTGCTCGTGAAAAAGTCCCAATAAATGGAGTGTTTCGTGCTGGATAACAGCCGGCATGGTAAGGCATCTCTCATTCAGGACGACTTCGTGGGGGCCAAAGGATAAAGGTTGATAGCCCACTCGAGTTCCACACATATTCGGCGATTTCTTGAAGAACACATATCGTTTTCCTGCGGGAGGAGATCCTTCGATCTCCTCAAACTGAACACAGGTCTGTTCGCCAAAACTCGTCATCGCTGTCCGAACATTGGTCACTTCCTGGTCACTGTAGTCCGTAGATACTCGATAGTATATCTTGTTACCGGGCCAACGTTGAAGTGGCGATTGCAATGCATTACGGGTCTTCGCCTCCGCCTGTTCATCGTCCACATGGATCTCGTTGTAGTAGTTCTCGTAGGAATCAATCCCTTCGGAAGACACCAGGATGGGTCCGAAAACCACCGCCAAAAATATATACCAAACGGTTTGAGGGAACATTTCTTTAGTTTATGACCAAAGTTTAACCGCAAAACCGCTTTTATAGTCTTTTGATTAAAATGTAGTTATCAGTTTTATTTCTGTCTTGAAAATTTTCATTAAATTAAGGTTTTACATACATACATACATGCAGACAATTCAAAGACAGGCAAAACAACTCATTCCTTTCCACCAACATTAAACACTGTGCAACAAAAAATTTATTTATTTGGTCAACAAAGCTATAGTAAAAGCTCGATTTTTTCTAATTAAAGATTAATTGGTTTGAAACAAAATTTAATTGCAAATTCTTTTCGACTCAAAGGGAAAATTCGGTTGCCTTACTGTTTTCCAATGCAAGTTTTTTAAACAACAATTTAACTAAAACCAAATCATTTAAAAATGGTTTACATTTTGTTGCACAATGTTAAGAGCTGAAACACATTTCCAGATAAAAGCCTGCTCTCCATGAACAAGCTCCGTTTTCATGGAGCCAAGTTCGACTTTATCCGCTTACAGACTTATATGGCTAGGGTTGTTAATTAGCATTTGCATAGCTTAGCATAGATACAGTATTTATACGTTCGCAATTGTTTAATGTATGCACATCGAACTGCATTTCAGTACACATTGGTGGCTAGAAAAGTGTTTATGGCTCTAATTTATTGAAATAAATTAATAGCCATCTTTAAATGAGTTACTTTCTCTAGGATTAGTCCGCTTTGATATATGAAAATTCAGCTGTTCTAGAGCTAAAAAATGTGAGTTCTAAATTTCGATAGATGTTTATATTTCAAAATGTATCATTCTTAATTAAGTTTAAAATTGATGGGATTTTCAGTACGCTAGATGTAAATTTTACTTTACTTTTCGAAGATCATTTTTAGCCGTATATTTTTCTAGCCACCAGTGTATACTAACAAGCATTTTAGTGATCTTTAATTCTCCGATTAGCCATTTCGTCAGCAAACGTTGCTAATATATACACATATGCATACGTTGATATCGTAAATTAGGGATTTGCATTTGGGTCATTAAGTTGGTTCTACGTTGCATTGGGTTGAGCCGGTATAGCTCCAGATTTAAACCAATAGTTGATTATTGTTGTTAATTACAGTTTGTATATTTCCAAAACTTCGTTTTCTCGCTCATAGCAAACGCATCACTAATACGTGAGTTGTGGGTGGTGGCCGGTGTTATTTTTTTGTTTTTTTTTTAGTTTTTCTAGGTATTCTGGTTTTTGGATGTTCCGTGGCTTGAGCGTGGTTGCTGCAGCATTGAGGAGGTGCTGGCTTTGTGCCAGATAATTAAAATTAAGCTGCTCAATCACGCCCAGGCTTTTGGTCATATAGTACAAGTACATACAATGTTAATTTAATCATAATTCATACAAAATAGAGTAGCAAGAACACATAATTAATAAAGAAAGTTTCAACAGATTACACAAGCAAAAATTCAAAGACAGCAAATTCATCTCTTGCAGAACTTTTCATTGCGTTGTTTCGGTTATCCGCCTGGTTTTCTTTTATTGGCTTCTGTTTTGTTGTCGTTGTCAGTTATAGTTATCGTTAACGTTAACGTCCTGATCCATCGATTCAGGCACTTTGCTTGCTAACATCACAAATCAGTTTCAAGTCGTTAGTAACGATCTCGTCCTTTTTTTCACTTGTTTCTTCATTCAGCATAGTTTCGAACTCTCTCTCCATCTCTAAATATACAGTAAATAGACGGTAGTCATAGTAGTAGGTATTATTTGATGGATGGCGGGCGGGCAGGCGTTTGATCGATTGCTCCAGCGAGTGATCCAGTGAGCGCTTGAGTGAATTGAGTGCTTGACTCTCGTCCAGTTCTCGTCCCGATTCTCGCCTCTAGTGCAGCTCGATAAACTCGTACAGGGTGGCTGGCACGGTTCCCTCGTAGTGGATGTCATGCTTCTTGATCGTCCGCGCAGCCAAGCACGCCAGCGTTGTGTACTTCATTGGATCGATGATCTTATGCATCGGCGTGGGGGCCAGCAGACTCTCAAACGTCTCGCCAGCATCGTTTTTGGTGTCCTGAAACGACGGAGTCGGGTTAGTAAAATGTATGGGAGTTCTTTCGATACCATACTCACCAAATGAGCTCCTCCCTCGAGCAGGATGTGCGACAGGGGCTCCACATAGGGCTGCATGGTGGCCAGATGCAGCGGCGTATTGCCGGATTCGTCGACGGCATTGGGATCCGCACCCACCTCCAGCAGGGCCTTCGCTAGCGTCACCGAGGGGAACTGGCAGGAGGGATAGCGACCGGCCAGCGTGCCTTCCCGATAGCAGGCGTAGTGCAGGGCGGTCCGGTCGAAACGAACGCGCACCTTCAAGCGGTTCAGGCGGTACAGGGCTCCCATCACCTGGCGACGCATCTCCGGATTGAGGGCATCGGTGTCCAGCAGGGAGCTCAGCAGGCAGCCTATGTGAATGGCACTTATCATGGTGCGACTCAGGGCATTGGGATCGTGGTTACAATCGTGCTGATGCGCCGACAGCAGTGTCGTTGAGGAGGAGGATGATGCGGATGAGGAAGAGGATGATGATGATGATGATGATGATGTGGAAGAGGAAGAGGAAGCCGAACAGGATGGCGATTTGTCAGCTGCCGGCAGCTGCTTCTGCGGGTGCTGCTGGTCCTTCTGCTGCTCCAGCGTGAAGGCCTGACCCCGTTCCACCTCCTTGACCGCCTTGTAGAAGATCGTCAGCATGCCGTCCGCCTCGATGGGTGGCACCACCCGACCCCTGGGCAGAAGGCGTCCCGCCTCCACCAGCATGAAGCTGAAGAGCTCGGCGAAGGACAGTAACGAGGATTGCGTCATCGGGCTGAGTGGCTGTAGGATCTTCTGCTGCATGGTCAGGGCATACGACCAGAGTTCGATGCAGCGGTCAAAGCGTCCAGCATCCGCATAGTGTGCACCCCTGAGAAGAAAATGGAAATTGGTTAATAAAATCTATCAGAAGAATAACTATATTTTTAATAACTAAACCAACTCATTTTTTATTAAGCAACATGGCCTGGGATGTTGTTGAAACATTCCCTTTTTAGGCAATAAACTTAGCTGCACTGATTTGTTTATTATTCTTTTATTCGATTTTAATTAATTTATTTGAAAATTTTAATAGCAGCACTAAGTATCAGTTTGGGTGGCAATTAATTTTAATTTCGCAAATGCTTAAGTTAGTTACAAGTTTGATTGATTTGTAAAAAAAATTTGTTATGTAATAGTTAAACCTTTACAACGATTAAAGAGTATGCTATTAATTCTGACGCAAACTTATTAAACAGTTTGCTTTAGTTGCCAATGGTTAGCCCAAATGCTTTTCTAGGAGTTTGGTTTATTTTACTGACTTACTGACTTTTCTAAGATATTTCACTCACCTGAATCGGATGTAGTAGCTGGTGTCTGGATGGGTGGGTCCCAGAATGCGCTGTCGAATGACCAGAGCCTGCATTCGCATCTCGTCGGGATCCAACACCATCTCCTCCAGTTCCTCCACGCTGGTCACCTCTTTGACCATCTCATAGGCCGGCACTGGTTCCTGGACCTTCTTCTCCAGCGGCGGCACCAGTGACCGTTCTTCGAGCGCCCGTCGCCACAGAGTAAGGGCCGCGGCCATGTCCCGCTTCCGGTCCACATAGGTGGCACCCAGCAGCTCCAGGGCGTGAATCCTCGACTCCCTGCTCACGCAGGGTAATGTGATTAGGTGCTCTACGATGGGCATGTGACCGGTGACACTGGCCGCCAGCAGCGGAGTCATTCCGTAGTAATCCACGTCCATGGTGGCGCCGTGCTTGAGCAGCAGCTGGAGGATCTGCAGGGAGCCCGACTCGGCGCAGTCGTGCAGCGCCGTGTTGCCCTTCACGCTGCATCGATTCACGTCCGCGTTCAGGGAGAGCAGATACTGGGCGATGCGGAAGTGGCCCTTGTAGCAGGCGATCATCAGGCAGGTGTGGCCATGTCGGTTCGCCACCTCAAAGTCTAAGTAGCAAGACCAATGATTAGTATGCTTTCTCATTTACAATTCACAATTTTGTTACTCACCCGCTCCGTGATGCACAAGATACTTGACAATCTCGTAGTGTCCGTCGAAGCAGGCGGCTCTCAGCGGTGTCGAATTCGTCCTGGTGGTGCTGTTCACGTTCGCCCCCCGACGGACGAGCATCTTGACGATGCCCAGGTGACCGGCGGCCGCTGCGCACCACAGCGGTGGGGCGTCCTCGATGGGCTCCCCGTCAAAACTGACCGATCCCACTTGCTCCACATTCGCCCGACACTTTGTCAGAAGGTATTCTACAATGTCGTAGTGTCCGTTGCGGCAGGAGATGACCAGCGGGGTGGCTCCGTTCACTTTTGCCGATATCAGGCTGCCTACTTCGCCGGAACTTTTGTTGTAAAGGGTGGCCTGTAAGCAGACAAACATTGAGTATGTGGGTTATTTTTTTTTTTAACTCAATCTTGAAACTTATGACGAAACACTTTAAAGTGCATTATCAGTGAATTTAAAGCTATTACATTCGTTTAGAATTGGATCGAAGTCAGAAACCAGATAACCTTTAGCTTTTGCTTATCTTTAAATAAGTGTTTATAATAATAATTGAATTTTTGTATTCTGTTAGCAACAGATTGGTTAATATGCTTTAAAACTGCGGTATCAATTTGGATAATTAAAGTGATTCATTTCGGTTTCGACCAATCTAAAAGCGATTTTAACATTCCCCACTCAACTGACGATGTAATTTTTGTTGATTAGGTTAGTCACCAACATTCGACTTCTTGATGCGATTTATAAAAAATTAAATAATAAACAAGGTAAGCCTTATAAATGCATTCCATATCAGACCCTGTGTCTTTCTTTTAATACGCGTTTTCCCCTGATAATGATATTGATCTAAATCACAAACAAATTTCAATTAGAAACAAATAATTTTTAATTGCTTCCAAACAAAATGACGACGAACAAAGCGAGTTGCTGATAGAGCGCAAAAAAAAAAAACCCGAGCCCCCTGAGCAAGAGATAACACATGGGTGGGGAAGGCACTTCTAGTAGAGATATGGCACGAGCAGCAGAGAGACAGAGAAATCGGAGAGATATAGCCAGAAATCAGCTGAGAAATATCATGTCTCTCTTTTCAGTTGCCGCCTAGCAATGCTGATGGATTTTATTGTGTAGCAACCCCTCTTTGCCTCCCATGCCGATTTGAAATTGAAATTCATTTATGTCAAACGTGTTTCATTTTCGCTTTATAGTATGCTAATTATGTTGTTTGCCAACGCGTGCAAGGGGGTCGGAAAGGGAAGTGGTGTTGGTGGGAAGTGGGAGGTGGTGGGGTGGTGGGGTGGAGCTGGTCGCCAGATTGGCTATGACGAATAGATTAAAGCTACAAAGGAATCAACAACAAATAGCATTAAATTTTTCTAAGCATATTCAAATTATCTCGATATTAAAGACTAAAAACTAAAACTTCATTAAAAACTAAATTTAAGATATAAAGTTTAATAATTAATAATAAAACTAATTAGGCGAAAACATAATATTTTGAAAGCAAAAAGATTACAAAAAATATACACCAATGAATATTTTGATATTAGGGTATACAACTACACAACAAATAACTAAGTCCTCTATTAAACATGTTACTGTACTTATTATTTTGTATAAAATGACCTTCTTTATTTCCGTGTACAACTTTTCTATATAAGCAGAAGTCAAAATCAAGGAAACAAACTGCCTTAGGAGAAAACCGTGACTCGACCACATCAGTCCGTCGTCTCTACGACAAAGGCATTTTCAAACCTATCAACCTCAATTTGAGCATTCGTACATATATCGTCCCCCCTGTCACCTAAAAATCACCTTCCTACCACCGCCCCTGTCTGTTTAGAACCAAAAACGAGATAAGCACAAAGAGGAGAACCCAAGATAAAAGATGCCAGCCAAAAAATTGGGTGGACGCAAATGACCTTG